CCTGACATGCCGTAATCGTGACGTCACGTGTTACAGACGCTGACGTTTTAAGAAAGAAGTATTCTATTAAAGTATATAAATTATGTAATTAAATAATTAAAAAAAAATACATAACTTTCATAATCAGAGTGTTTAATTAGAGAAAGCAGTTATATATTTGTAATAAATTACTTCGTTTCAGTCTTTAGCTTTCACTGCTTCGTAACTCGTGACGTCACCCCCCATCTTCAAAACGCGTTCTGCTGTCTCTGGCCAACCTGGTAGAATGCGCTTTACGGACCTTGGTCCTGACAATAAGAAACCATTCCAATTTAAAGGTCCATAGCGTTCAAGGTAATAAAAAATGGCAGCCCTACATCAAAGGTGCCGACATGAAACGTCGCATCTTGTTTAATAATTCTAGTTCTAGGTATAATGTTAAGCCGACGTTACACGTAGTAGTCGACTGCTATGGCGGCAACTACGGAGGAGCGTGGTTTGACTGTTCCCGTCAAAATTTGCGTGTAACGAGTCTATTACCATAGTAATGACTGCGAGCAAAGCTACTGCGAAGGCTAGAAAATTTTCTACTTTGGGTACATCACGTAAATTTGACGATTTACACGCCAGTTTGACACTAGCAGTCAAATCACGCCCCTCCGTAGTTACCGCCATAGCAGTCAATTGCGACGTGTAACGTCGGCTTTAGATCTACATAGTAACAGTGCTAGTGTAAAATTAGAACTAATACAAGACCAAGCAGTAGAATCATTCGGATTTAGCCGTCTTATGAGACGCACGGCTAAACTACATTTTGCATTCATGTAGCGTCTAATTTCTGGGATAAAGTATTTCTGGAACCATTCTGTAAAGATTCCACTGGTCATCCAGGCCTTTTTGTTTACTGTCCAGTGAATTGGCAACTTATTGAAATCTACAGACGCACGGCTAAACCCGATATTTTCTAGTTCCAGGTCTAGTGTTAGTTCTAGTTTTACATTAGCACTATCACTAGAACTAACACAAGACCTAGAAGTAAAATGATTCGGATTTAGCCGTCTTATGAGTCGCACGGCTAAACCCGAATGTTTATAGTTCTAGGTCTAATGTTAGTTCTAGTGACAGTGCAAGTGTAAAACTAGAACTAACACTATACCTAGAACTAGAATCATTCGGGTTTAGCCGTCTTTAGAGACGTGCGGCTAAACCCAAATGATTCTAGTTCTAGGTATAGTGTTAGTTCTACATAGTAACAGTGGTAGTGTAAAATTAGAACTAATACAAGACCTAGAAGTAGAATCATTCGGATTTAGCCGTCTTATGAGACGCACGGCTAAACCCGAATGTTTCTAATTCTAGGTCTAATGTTAGTTCTAGTGACAGTGCAAGTGTAAAACTAGAACTAACACTATACCTAGAACTAGAATCATTTGGGTTTAGCCATCTTTAGGGACGTGCGGCTAAACCCAAATGATTCTAGTTCTAGATATAATGTTAGTTCTACATAGTAACAGTGCTAGTGTAAAACTAGAACTAACACTAGATCTAGATTTAATTGTTACACAACGCTTGATTATTGTATATTTTTATTGATCGAAAAATAAAACTAACACTTGACCTAGAACCAGAAACTAGAAACATTCCGGTTAGCTGTGCGTCTCTTAAGACGGCTAAACCTGAATGTTTCCACTTCTAGGTCTAATGTTAGTTCTAGTGGCAGTGGTATGTAGCACTAGTTAGCATAAGATATCACTATGTTGTATATTTTTATTGCGCTAAAGAAAGACGCACGGCTAAACCCGATACATTCTAGGTCTAGTCTTAGCTCTAGTTTTACACTAGCACTATCACTAAAATTAACACAAGACGCAGAACTAGAATCATTCGGGTTTAGCCATCTTGAAAGACGCATGGCCTAAATGAAACCTAAATGTCCCGAATATCTAATGTTAGTTGTAGTTTAATAAAAATATACACCTAATTCTCTTTTTACGCGAATTTGATTTGTTTGATTTGATTTGTTGATTTTTAACTTGAGACCTGATCTTCTCATCAAGTGGTGACGAGGAAAAAGAAAAAGGGGAAAAGAAGGAAAAAAATGGAGGATGTATTAAAACAGATTAGCCAGGTATTACAGAATCTACACAATAATCAGGGAAATTCAAATTCAATGGATCTACGAGGAATCCAACTACAAAAGTTCGACGAAGGTAATGAAACATTTGAATCGTACGTGCAAAGATTAGAAAATTACTTGGAATTACGAAACTTAACGGAAGATACACCGGAAAATGAAAAGAGTTAAGTTCAAATTCTAATCAGCTGTTTAGGACCTAAACACTACCAAATATTAACAAATCTTACAGCACCAGACCTACCAAAGGAAAGAAAATACGAGGATCTTATAAACCTTTTACGAGCTCACATTTCTCCAAAACCAAGCGAGATAGCAGAACAACACAAATTCACAATGCGAATACAACATGAAGGTGAGTCTATTGCACATTTTCACACTGAATTAAAGAAAATTACGACAAATTGTAATTTTATTTGCGAAAACTGTAAAAACCCTAGACAGGTAATCATAAAAATACAGGTAAATTTAAGGAAAAGAAGTGTTTTAGATGCGTAAAAGGGAACCATATTGCTAAGGAATGCAAGTCTGAGAACCTAAAATGTAAACATTGTGGAAGAAGTGGCCTTTTAGCAGTAGTATGTTTTCAAAAGTCCAGAGGAACAAAACAACTTAAGGAAGAAGATGAAGAGGAAGTGAGGATAAGGAAGAGAACAGGAGAGAAGTTAGCTACAACGTGATCTGTCATATAAGAGAATAGATTGTAAAAGGTCATTCGTTTTACCTTACGTTGTAATAAAGTAAGAAAGAAGACAAAGATAAATAAGCAAGTTAACTTGAGACTTTATTTTACTTACATCGTACATACACAACATGATTTAACACGAGTTAAAAAGAAAAAAGAAATCTCTTTTTACACGAATTGTTTTGTTTTAACGCGGTTTTCAATATTCTATGAATTTTTCTTGAATCTCATAGAGCAAATAGAGCGAGATGGAAGGACGAGCGGCTTTGGGCTGTTATCGTATACAGTTGTTGCTATAACAATACATATGTGTATATGAGTGGGATTCCCCGAATTATGCATAAAGTAAAGACGTAATGTATTTTTTACGCAATTTAGTTTTGCTTTGAGAATTGAAAAGAAAAGACGTTTAATTGTTGTGGATATTTAAAAAGTTATAAGTAAAATAAAGTTCGCTCATGAAGCGACCATAAGAACGATCAAGAAAAATGAAACTGCGATCAGAAAATCGGTATGTTCTAGAACGAAAATAAGTACTAAATCATCGTGATACATAAGAGATGGGATCAAAGAGAAGAGGGAAAAAGCTTTGGTAATGTGGATTGAAGATAAATCATAAAAAAGAATACCAGTAGATGGAATTGCTATCAATCAAACTGCATTAAGTACGTATTAAAGTATAAACGAATTAATAAACATATTAAAGAAGTTGAGCCAAGCACTTCATCTCAGTCAAAACAACCTGAATTTGCTGCAAGTGCAGGTTGGATGACAGGTTTTCTTAAACGACATACATTGCTGTTTTATTCCAATACTTCAGGAGAACGTATGTTAAAATCACTGCTAGTAAATCGTGCTTTAAGACCACGCACGATAAAAGGTGTAGATTTCAATAAATTGACAATTCACTGGACAGCAAACAAAAAGGCCTGGATGACCAGTGGAATATTTACAGAATGGTTCCAGAAATACTGCATCCCAGATATTAGACGCTACATGAATGCAAAATGTCTAGAATTTAAAATTCTTTTAATTTTATACAATGCACCTGGCCATCCGGTTTTGGAGCACTCAAATGTACAATTTTGCTTTCTTCCGCCTAACACTACATCCTTAATACAACCGCTAAACCAAGGGATCATGGCTACTTTTAAAACGTACTACTACATAAAACGTTCATTTCAATACGTGCTAGACAAACTAGATGATAATGAGGATTTAACAGTTATTGATGTGTGGAAAAATTTTTCTATTATGGACTGCATTAATCAAGTTGTGTTAACTCATGTTGGAAAAATATTTGGCCAGAATGTGACCAAAGCAAATATCCTGATCCTGTCATCCATAATACCGCTGCTTTTACTGACATCACAACGCTGACATACACAATTGGTGGAGATGAATTCGATGATCTATCATTTGCCGATATAGAGGAATTATTAGTTAATAAAAGCTTGAGCGAAAATGAAATTATAGACCTCACCCTTAAGAGTCATCATGACAGAGAACATAGCGATAATGACGAAGAAGATCCTCCCATTTTAAATGCAACTCTAATTAAAGAAGGTCTTGATATTGCCAGGAAATTAGGTAATTATTTTGAACAACATGATCCTGATGAGGAACGAACTGCGAAATTTCAACGTGAACTGAAATCATTAATGGAATCTTACAGGGAACTTTATTACAGTTTATCAGGAAATCAAACATCTTTAATGACTGATTTCCTTCTAAAAATTACTGAATTATCAACACAGGAGACTAGAGATGATAATCCAGAAATAATTTCACAAGATGATGAACAATATAATTCTAATGATGGCAGTGATATTGTAGTCTACAAGAATTTTTTAATATTGTAAAAAGAGAATTAGGTGTACAACAACCTGGCGCTGAATAATAACTAAAATTAGAATTAACATTGTTACTGGAACTAACACTAGACCTAGAACTAGAAACATTTGGGTTTAGCCGTCTTCAAAGACGTACATTTCTAAGTATAGTGTTAGTTTTACTTCTCGTTCAATAAAAATATACAACAATTTAACGTTGAATAACAACTAACACTAGCATTAGAAGTAACACTAAGCAGACACAAAAAGTAGTTTTTAGTTCTAGTGACAGTATTAGTTTCGTGATTGATAGTGTTAATTCTAGTTTTAGTTTAATTTGATATTTCTTATTTTATTTATTTTATCTTACCCGTTTTTGGCCACAACGCATTAACACCAATTCCAAACGGTTCTAATTCTTCGCTCATTCCCAAAACGCACATAGACATCCCATATTTAGCCATCGTATAAGCAACGTTTTTCGAAAACCATCCGGGATGCATATTAAGCGGGGGAGAAATATTTAAAATGTGCGGATGAGAACTTTTTCGTAAATAAGGAATACATTCTTTAGATACTAAAAATGTTCCTCTCGTATTAATGTTATGCATCAAATCGTAACGCTTCATTTCGGTATCTAAAGTTCCAGTCATTGAAATTGCGGAAGCGTTATTAACAACAATATCAATTCCGCCGAATTTTTCTACAGCTTTTTTTACGGCTTCTTGTATTTGTTTTTCATCTCGTACGTCGACGATACACGGTAGAGCTTTACCTCCGGCTTTTTCAACCTCTGCAGCTGCCGTGTAAATTGTTCCGGGGAGTTTCGGATGGGGTTCGGCCGTTTTTGCGGCTAAAACTATGTTTGCACCGTCTTTTGCTGCTTTTAATGCGATTGCTAAACCAATTCCGCGACTCGCACCGGTTATGAATAAAGTTTTTCCAGATAATTTTCTAAAATCGATGAAATTTTTAAAATTTATTTAAAATTATTTAGTACTTACCCAGTATTTTCCATTTTATTGATTTAAAATTATAAGAATGAGTAAAATACTCGCAATGACAGGTATGTGGAATGACTTTGCATTTGTGTTTATTTCGTTATCTCAACGTTTAGTTGGTTGAGAGTACAAAGTTTGTTGTTCAATTAAAAATGTTTTTTTATTGGTAAAACAAGTCATTTGCTATTAACTTTTGTTGTTCTTTATTATTTATACGTTGACAGTTTATAATAAAATCTTTAAAACGTTTAATTTTATTTTAAAATTTGTCGACCTTTATTTTCACTTTCATGTGGGTTATTTTTAAAGTCTCCTAACTGCGCAATGTTATTTTCTTTAGATACATACCGATTTTATGATTTATTTAAAAAATAAAAGATCATAAGATAGATATAAACATAAAAAGATCTTTATGTTAAAGAAATTTATTATTTATTTATATAAATTTATTGAATTGATTTATCTACATATTTCTTTTGTATTAAATTTGATCATGGGATGTTGCTAGTTTAGGTGGTGTTCTGGTTAGGACTTAAATGACCAGCCTTCTGCGTATCTACATCACGATTACTTTATTATAGTTTTCTTTACATACCTGCTTATACTACATTCTACTACATTAGGTTGCATACATGCCACAGGGGATCTAGGAATTCCTGCAGACGTTCTTTTCCATGTTGCCAGATGACAAAGATGTTATCCACGTAACGAAGCCACAGCATTGTTTTCTTCCTTACGCCAACCTTCCTTAGGGTAAAGCAGCATATCGATTCTGCTGCGGTCCATATGATCTTGATTAGGACAGAACACAGTACCAAACTTACCTATGGGCGGACGGGGCAAGCGCCCGGGGCCCCCGGGCCCAGGGGGGCCCCGTAAGGGCTCCCTTCGCATAGAAGTTTTTCTCAATAAAGTAAAAAAAAAAACGTTTACCGAATGGTCTTTTACATTTGTACCAAATATGTATTCCAGAATTATTAACATTATTTCTTATGTTTTACTAACAATTTCGCCAGTAGGCCGGTGGTTTGTGTACGTTTCCTGCTTTTATAGGCAGTTAGGTTTGTGAATTCGAGTTCGAGCATGTTTTTAATTTGATTATATCATAAAAGAAAGTCTGGGATCGCCCAAAGTTGTTTGGGAACTTACTACAACCAGTACAACTATACTTTAACCATACTAATTTCATAGATAGAGATGTTTTGATTTTTTGTCGGTGGGTTGGTGCAGCATAGCGGTGCTGTGAGCTGTACAGCTGTATAGTGTTTCGCGCTCGCGATATTTGGAGGTTATGTTATGGTCGTCGTTCAATCGAACATTAGTCCACAATTGGAGGTTCAGAATGGAAAATTTAGTTTGTATAGGTTACCGTATAGAATAGAAACTCTCTCTATGAGAAGGAGCAATCAATCAGGTAAGTCTACTAAAGAATTTGGTTCGAATCAATTATTTGGTTTTAATACTGTGTGATGACTTAAAGAAATACCATCAACTTTTGATGTTCACTGCTGTGAAACTGCCAATAACTTGCCAATAAATGTCCCAATACTCCCAATATAATTCAATCGGCTATTCAGGGTTCATGAGGATAGGTTAGGCTGTTTCAATCAAATATCGTTAGCACGTTAGTACGTGTGGAAGTTCAGAATGAATGAATTTTATTTCTTTATCAATCAATGGTGTGCAGCAATACTTTTTGTTCTAGGTCGATCAAAATCAAGCAAACTGTGTAGAAAGGGTACTCTAAAAAAATGAAGCGAAGTTATCCTAGTGGCGCTCAAAAGCGTCAAAAAGCTAAAAAAGAAAAAATTTTAACTAATAAATTAACAAAACTATCATCTTTTTTTAAAACCTCTTCAAGTCAGTCTGACAATTCTGAATTGGTGTGGCTTCTACTTCTTCGTTTGAACCCAACCAACTAAAACCATGCTCCGACGATATTGACAGCTCAGCCAAATTATCTGTTCCTAANATTTACGACCTATTAGCATTCTCCCGGTTCTTGCAAAGGTTGTGGAGAAAGTTATGGACTGGCAAATTAGAACTTTTATTGACGGCTATAATATCCTACCTCCAAATCAGTCTGGATTTCGTAAACATTATGGTTGTGAAACAGCGTTAATGCATATTACCGACGACATTCTCCGGGCGATTGATGAAAACGATATGACTGCGTTAGTTTTGTTGGATTACTCGAAAGCTTTCGATACTGTAAACCATTCCTTGTTAAGTTCTGTCTTAAATTTTGTTGGGTTTAGCGCTAATGCTATATCATTGGTCTCCAATTACTTGTGCAATAGATACCAAAAAGTTAAGATAAACAACTCTATATCTGAGCCTCGGAGGGTGTCGGCGGGTGTGCCGCAGGGTTCTATATTGGGGCCACTTTTGTTTTCGTTATATACATCTAACTTTTCAAATAGTTTAAAACACTGTAGCTGTCATTTTTACGCAGATGACACCTAACTATATCTGAGATTTGCTCCCAGTGATATGTCTCTGGCTGAAACTATTTTAACACGGGAAATTAGGAACTTAGTGGAAATTTCGTCTGGACATAATTTGAAGGTGAATGGTGCCAAGCCGGCATTGATGCTTTTTGGTAGGCGGGGTTTGCGAGAAGAACATTCTACTCATTTTAGTATAGAAGTTGACGACCAGCGAATTAATGTAGGATGCTGTTTTCGTAATTTGGGATTGTATCAGGATACTAATTATTGGACAGGATGTATTAATATATATTCCTTTGTTTTTTTTTATTTTTTATTATTTTTGATTTGTTTAATATTGTTAATTTCGTAAACATTGATTTTTTTTTTCTCTTTATTTTAATTTTTCTTTTGTTCTATTTTATTAATACTTAATTTTTTTTTTGTTTGTTTGTAGGGTTGAGTGGTAAAGAGGAACTTGATTCCTAACTCCGCCCTACGTATTGCTTTTGTATAATTATTGTCATTGTTTTTTTATTAATAAAGCCAAGTTATTATTATTATTATTATTAAGACATCTAAATATTACTCGTTCTCAGTGGACTCAACACCAGATGCTGCACATATGGACCAACTAACGTTTGTTATCCGATACTTAAAATCGGGGGAGCCCAAAGAAAGGTTTTTGAAGTTTATTCCCATTTCTGCACNTCAGCAAGAGTATACCATCAAACCGGAAAACCCCCTGAAACCAGAATATGTAAAGCTGAGTTTTTCTACAAGCACCTTAAAAATGGCGATAGAGTTAAACGGGATTGGTTGTTATATTCTCCATCAAGAGGTAGAGTTTATTGTTTTGTATATAAATTTTTTGATACATTATCAATGTCATCAAATCCATTCTGTTGTGAGGGATTCAATGACTGCAAACATGCTGCTGATAGAATTTCGTTCCATGAAAATAGCAAAAATCATCGAAAGTGCCTTCTAACGTTTTTTAAGCGTTCTTCTGAGGCTGGAAGAATAGACACTGAAGTTCAAATCCAAATCAGTAAAGAACGAGTTTACTGGCGAAATGTTTTAACCAGAATAGTTTCGGTAGTTCGGTTCTTGACTGAACGTGGACTTCTTCTAAGAGATGACTGTGAAAAATTCGGCAATGCAAAAAATGGAAACTATTTAGGACTTCTTGAATTGTTAAGCGATTATAACCCGTTTTTAAAAGAACACATAAATAAGTACGGGGGTGGTGGAAGTGGAAAAACATCTTACTTATCCCACAGAATCTGCGATGAGTGTATCGATGTTATAGGAAAACAAGTGTTTGAAGAAATTGTAATGGAGGTGAAGACATCTAAATATTACTCCTTCTCAGTGGACTCAACATCAGATGCTGCACATATGGACCAACTAACGTTTGTTATCCGATACTTAAAATCGGGGGAGCCCAAAGAAAGGTTTTTGAAGTTTATTCCCATTTCTGCACATACAGCAGACCACCTCTTCCACGAAGTCACTGGGCTGTTGAATGAAAGTAAGATACCTATTCTAATCTTATGATAATGCGAGCAATATGAGTGGGCGTTTAATGGCCTCCAGGCAAAGGTAAAGGAATTAAACGAATTAGCTGAATTTGTACCTTGTTCGAGCCATTCGCTAAACTTGGTTGGGGTTTCTGCAGCAGAGTGCAACTCAGAGGCTGCTAGATATTTTCACTTCGTTCAGTCCCTTTACGTATTTTTTTCGTCGTCCACTTCGAGATGGAGAGTTCGTCTTAATTCTCTTAAAGATAAAAAAAAAGGTTTTGAAGGCATTGTCAAACACAAGATGGTCAGCTCGTGCCGATGCGGTTGCTGCAATTAAAGAAAACTATACAAATATAAAATCCGCATTAAAAACGATAACTGAAGACATAGAACAGTCAGCGGACACAAAAATACAGGCATCTGGCTTAGTTAAATCTATGGAGCGTTTTGAGACAGTTTTTTTACCGATGTATGGAATGACATCTTGACCCGGATTAATAAGGTAAGTAAAATATTACAAAAGCCCACTTTGACTCTTGCAACCACAGTGACACTATTAAGCTCACTAACTACGTTCATCAGCAAGAAAAGAGATAGTTTTGACAAATATCTCACATCAGCTGAAACAGCTATAGGTTTTAAATTTGAAGATAGCGAGAGGAAGCGCACTGTAAAACGTAGTTTGAAGATTGCATTTTTTGACAACCCTCTAACCCCAGAATCAGTGCACTCAGAAAAGGAGAAGCTAAAAATAGATGTATTCTTACCAATGATTGATGCCATATACATCAATCTCAGGGATAGGTCATCAAAATACGACATCGTAGCGAAGAGGTTCGGATTTCTAGAAGAGATCATTACTTTGAAGGAGAAAGATGGAAGATTGGAAGTTGCTTGTAGCACTCTGGCAGAAAAATATGAACACGATATAAGTAGCAATGAACTATTTGAAGAGTGCGTACATCTAAAATGCTTTTTGGAAGGATTTGGAACAATTACTCCTGAAAACGGATTATGAAGATGAAAGTGAGGATAAAAAAGACGGCCCTGACTCAACAACACAACTGTTCAACCTGAAAAATCACAAACAAGAAGAAATAGATGTCGACGATCCAATACCTGAAGTACAACATGAACTTGATTGCAACCAGGAAAATTACTTTGAACTAGCCCCCGATGAAGGTGAATTATATTTACCAACGACGTCATCACGCAAACTCAATCTACAGACAACATATAAATATTTGCATGACAATGGACTTTTCTCAGCGTTTCCCAACATTGAAGTTATTTTAAGAATATTGTTATGCATGATGGTTTCAAATGCATCGGCAGAAAGAACATTTTCAAAATTAAAACTTGTAAAAAGTTATTCAAGAAGCACAATCAAGCAGGATCGATTGAACTCTTTAAGCATTCTCAGCATTGAAAATGACATTTTGCGCCGACTTGACTTAGGAAATATGATTGACGATTTTGCAGCTGTGAAATGCAGAAAAAAATCATTTTAATTACCAGACTACATTTCACACTGTATGTTAAATAAGGCCCTGTCGGGTCCTTAATGAGTGTGGCAGTTGCTGTCAATAGTAATAGGGCAGAAAAATAATTATGTAATAAACATTAGTCTATATAACTTGTTCGAACTTATCTTATAAACTAATATTCAGTTGGGTTTGTTAATAAAATTATAGTAGTTAGTAAGTTAGTTATGGAATAAAGTAAAGCTTTCACAGTTCATGCATTCTCTATCTCACTTATTTACAGTACCTCAATTATTTAATGTTAAATATTTTTTGTTTGTGTCCATATATTGTATTCAAGCCCCAAATAGAGTCCGTTTAACAGAACCGAAGGTTTTGTTTTATACCAGGCTCTGGGATGCGGATTTTCGATTATTGCCAGTTTTTGGACGACTTTAACTTCATGGTTTTTACATCGAAGTTATAATCACAAAGTATCAGATCCAGAGAACCAGGAAGATTCTGCACGATTACAAGATGGTCAGTCTGTTCAACCTACAGCACCCCTGAGCAGTAAAGTGCTGTATCCGGAAATTCATATTGTACAAGAGACGCGATGAATTTTCGACTAAATATGTCGTTATGATTTTGTAACACAAAGACACTCTTATTGTCTGTAATTAGGTTAAGAAGTTATTGTTATGAAAAAAAAAAAATAATTTATTAAGAGAAAGTTAACTAAGTTTGATACTCATCACCATGTGGAGGTAATAAGTTTTGAATAGTTTTTTTTGAGTTGTTAAAAATTTTTTTGTACTGATAGCATCTAGATACCTATTTCCCGCACAGAGAGGACGTGCGGGAAACGCGTTTTCCCGCACAAATGCTTTTTTGTTACCGCAACTAACAGGAATATTTAATGACCAAATGTGCATGTTTATAAGAAAAGGTTAATAAGAACGTTTTATACNTGCAACCAGGAAAATTACTTTGAACTAGCCCCCGATGAAGGTGAATTATATTTACCAACGACGTCATCACGCAAACTCAATCTAAAGACAACATATAAATATTTGCATGACAATGGACTTTTCTCAGAGTTTCCCAACATTGAAGTTATTTTAAGAATATTGTTATGCATGATGGTTTCAAATGCATCGGCAGAAAGAACATTTTCAAAATTAAAACTTGTAAAAAGTTATTCAAGAAGCACAATGAAACAGGATCGATTGAACTCTTTAAGCATTCTCAGCATTGAAAATGACATTTTGCGCCGACTTGACTTAGGAAATATGATTGACGATTTTGCAGCTGTGAAATGTACAAAAAAATCATTTTAATTACCAGACTACATTTTACACTGTGTGTTAATAAGGCCCTGTCGGGTCCTTAATGAGTGTGGCAGTTGCTGACAATAGTAATAGGGAAGAAAAATAATTATGTAATAAACATTACTCTATATAACTTGTTCGAACTTATCTTATAAACTAATATTCAGTTGGGTTTGTTAATAAAATTGTAGTAGTTAGTAAGTTAGTTATGGAATAAAGTAAAGCTTTCACAGTTCATGCATTCTCTATCTCACTTATTTACAGTACCTCAATTATTTAATGTTAGATATTTTTTGCTTGTGCCCATATATTGTATTCAAGCCCCAAATAGAGTCCGTTTAACAGAAAAAATTAAAATAATCCTTATATGTACTATTTAATTTTTATTCTGACTTTAAACTTTAATAATTACAGTTACAAATATAAAATTGTTGTAAATATTTTAACACTTTTAATATATCATATAGAATTACATTATGCAAAATCCAACATTCTAATATTCTAACATGTTCTAAAATTATTTCATCATTACATTGCTTAGTTAAAATTAGTGTGCATATATTGTATATTACGTATGTTTATACTGGGGACCCCATCAGCAAATTTGCCCGGGGCCCCTGAAGTCTTAAATTCGGGCCTGACAGAACAAGTACTAATACGGGAAAGAATTCAGAAGACCTTCACAGATCTGCAGCAAATAAGTGAGAGGTTACTACGACTCCACCTCATACTTTTCAATTCTATGACTAGAGAAAACTGGAACATAATCGACAGAATAACCATGGAGAGGGCATGGAGAAGGAATTCGGGACAAACAAAGAAATTCCAGTCGTTGAATCGCCGCAACCACAAAAAGAAGAACAACTATTTACCAATTGAAACGGTTGCTATCAAGCGTCAGTACTCGCCAAAGGCTTAAATTATACACTCGTTCAGAAGACTGGACGCTGCGAAGTGGAAGCGGCTATTCGCAGAATACCTGCAGTGAAAGAAGAGGGAATTCGATAAGATATAGTGAGAGTACTTAAATCAGCGAAGCCATCAGAATCAAATCTAAGAATCAACGGTCCATCATCGTTCTACCAGTAGACAAAGGGAATGTCACCGTGATATTGGACAGGAAGAATACGCCGACAAGATTACGAACCTTTTGGATCCACCAATCTATAAGAAAATCAAGAAAGATCAAACCGAGAAATAATAAAAAAAATGAGAGAATTGGTGAAATTTACAAAAATTCTAGCAGAACCACAGAGAAATTTGTTAGTACAGATTCCAGTACTACCAAGTAACTATAAGTAATCTATAAACTGGATGTCCCGACACGCCCTACCTTGCTAAGATTCTGTCTCATTTTACAAGTAAAACAGAATCATATCTCAGAGATTTTACACATTTTGTAGAATCATTCAAAGTATGAAGTTAAATTTATGGGCCGAAGGCCGTGAATGGCCTTCGCCAGAAACTCATTCCGGCGGGCTTACTGTTCATTATCTATATATTTTAGCTGGAAGGGAGAATTCTACGAGAAATGCGAATGAGAGTCTATTGGCTATCATGTAGTTGTGGGAAGTATTAAGTTGGCCAAACTGGAACTGTGGCAATGTTCGACAGTTGGCCACTGGAACTGTGGCAATGCTCTGCAACTGCCACAAAAATATTAGCCATTAAAGCTAAGACCAAGGTGCTGGCTAAAGTCGGAAATAATAATAATAAAGTAAAAAAAAAGATGGCTGGGAACTTAGCTGTACGTGGAAAATGCTACAACGTTAACTCGACGGAACTTGTTCCACCCGGATTTAACAAATACAACTTATTGTTGAATATGTGGATCCATATTCAAGAATACAATTCAGCTAATACGGCTTTTTTGGTCCTACGCTACAAGGAATTAACATACAAGATTAAATCTCTCAAGTAACATATAAAATTTAACAAAGTGATAAGAACAGAACATCTAATTCCAATATACATTAAATACAAGTTAATACAAGAGAGAAACATATTAATAATGAATTAAAGAACAAAACATTAACATAGACTAGAACAAAAGATTACTTTTGTTCATATACCACTTATTAACCAATATATTACATTATTCTGAGCTACAGGAAATTGTAGAACAGGCAAAAGAACACAAAAATTGTATCCTTTTGGATAATTGGAGAAGAAAACAAAAAAAGATTGACAAACTCATGGCTGAAAAGAGAAATAAAGAAGAAAAACTACAATTAACTGAACAACAAGCCTCATTTACTTTTCGCCCCAGAGTAACAAACCTGACCAAATCCTTTACAACTAAAGAACAGGATTTTCTAAACAAGGGACGCAAATATGCATTGGCGAACCACCCCAGACTGAGTCACCTGAGCATAGAACTGGAAGCGGCAGCAAGATACAACCTACAAGAGAAAGACCTTCGGCTGGACATCATCGACTTCTTACAGAAGGTTGAGAATCGTCAACAGCACAAGAACAATAATGAGAAAAAAATGATCAACCTAGAAATGAAGATTGTTAAATCCATCAAAGATAAGAACCAATCACATGATGTAATTATAAACAGAAATATTTATAAACAAAAAACTGAAACTTTTCTAACACAAAATAATTGTACAGAAATAAAAACCAACCCTATCAATACCTTACACACAAAAACAAAAAAGGCCCTCAAAGATTCTAGATCATTCTTAGATAGATACAACATTAAAATCTCTAATATACTACCAATGAACCCAAAAAATCCTACTCTATATTCCCTCATAAAATTACATAAACCCAACAACCCTATCCGACCAATAATTTTTTCCATAGGCTCAAGTACCCATAAATTGGCGAAAATAATTAACAGATTTATACTGGCTAACCTAGATTTCAAACCGATGCATACCATAAGAAATAGACAACAACTCATCGAAGAACTACTAAATTTGCACGTTCCCGACAACTTTGAATTGTATTCGTTTGACGTCACCAATCTGTATACAAACATCCCGGTTTCCGAGACTCTAACCATTACATTTGATTACTTTAAGAATAAACTACAGTTGGAAGATGCCAACCATCTGCAAAACTTCCTTAATACTTGTCTAGCCTAAAACACTTGTTCTTTGGCAATAAATTATATAGATATTCGGACGGCCTTCCCATGGGCCCCCCTTTGAGTGGACTCCTGGCAGATTTTTTTCAAAGCAATCTACTCCACACAAGAAATGTCATAACCA